CCTGGAATAGCATGCTGAAACTTCACACCATGGTGATGCAGAGGTGACCCCGCAACACGTGGTCCAGTGCAGCCTCCTGAAAGCAGCTTGACTTGGATACGGTCGGCATTGCCCTGCAGCGTCCGCACCGACACCAGGTAGTGTTGCCGATCCTCTCCTCACCCCACTGCACCGGCTCCACTGCGTCTGCAACCCGTACCACTGCTGTTGCCCCACGTCGGATAGGCTCGAAAGCGTACGCCAGTGGACTCACAACATCAGCAACTCTCTCCACCTCGTCTTCGTCCATTTTCAAACCAGCGTGTACTTTTGGCAATGTGTTTTTCCTAACATGTTTCAACACTGCCTGTGCCAAAACATGCATGTTTCATGTCCCCTTTAAGATTAAAACTACAATCAATTGTCCTATACCTTCCAGCCATGATATGTTGGAATCATTTTAGGCAATATCACTGGACAATATTAAAATTAAATATGATGTACATGATCATCATCATCATCATCATCATCCTCATACTGCATTATTTTCTTAATTAAGAATAGACACAATTTACCAGACATATCATCTACATAATCTCCTCTAATTGCTTTGTCTTAGTATGCAATGGACTTCGTAATACTCGCAGCACTGGGAGATACAGAATGAAGCTTTGCTTTGAATGCGTTATCGATGGTAGGCTGGCTTACAGACGCGTTGTTCCATTATGAAAACCTGAAGTGGGCCCAGACTTTAGATTTAAAATTAGACGGCGCATCTTTTACGTGTTTTTCCCCGCCTTGCGCCATTCCCTCTTCTTTTTGTTTCCTTTTTTTCTTCTTCTTCTTCTTCTCTATCGCAGTAGACTCCACCCACTCTCATTCATGCTAAGTGCCATCACTTGGAGGCTTGAAGTAAATCAAAATTGTAGCTGGCGTTTGTGAGAGAATCTGTTTAGAGCGGTTGTATGTTTATTGTTAAATATCAATATTTGACGCCAGTGTATCGATAACGTCCCGCAAGACGAAATACCGCGATATATCTTAGCATCAATATTTTGGCACACCCCTACCAGAAACTAGAAGATTCAGCTCAAATTATATCATTATATCTTTTATGAGTAAAATCCTGATATTTTTTTAAAGATGATGAAAGTTGCCTTCATGTCCACAGAGGGGGGAAGGGGTGTGGTGGCACTGAGGTGGAGTTGAGGTGTGCCCAAAGTCTGGTCTCAAGCAGCTGTGGAGACCTCATCACCTCAGACTGGGATTGGTCTGGTTCTTCAGGAGCCTCTCTGCACTGTGGGAAAGAGTCCAGCAGAAGACCTGGACTCCAGACACCCAGTGGAAGTAAGACAGCATGACCTAAAGTTCTATTAAAGCCTCTGTATGGCCCATATTTAGAAATATATCTTTGTTTGTCCTTTGATGAGAGTAAATTACAACATCAATAGCTAGTAAGCTAGCTATAGCACACAAATATTAATGGCCTCTGTATCATAACTGCAATGAATACCAAAGTCAGTTTAATAAACTGTCCAAAAGTATCATTAGTAAGCTTTAATTCTCCATATCAACTTAGGAATGCCACATAACAGACTTACTTAACTAAAGGTGTCCCCCAGGGTTCCATCTTGGTACCTATTTCGATCTCTGTTTTTATAAATGACTTCAGTAAAGACATTAAAACAAAAATACACTTTTATGCTGATGACAGTGTAATTTATATCCCCTCCATAAGGACGGGTGGAGACTTTATTTCAGTCATTACAAACTGCTCTGAAAAAATTGGTTTTAAAAGCTCAGAAGACAAACTTTGTGGTCTTCGCTTACAGTTGCTTGGTGATTTTAGTATTTTCACATCTGAAGTTAAATCCATTGAAAGGCTGCCCTCGTACACAATCTTGGGTGTACGAGGGCAGCTCAAAGTGAGAGTTGGCTTTTATTTTAGTAATAAATCTTGTTTTACCTTCAATGCCAAAATAAAAGTTGTGGAAGCTCCTTTTTGTCTGTGATCGATTACGGTGATATATTGTATCTGCTGCCTCCTTTTTTTAGATTTAGTGCATCTTTACACTTAATTATGAACTTAATTATAAAGTCCATCACTCACCAATTTTTTCCTTATGATTTGATTGGTTGGAAAACATTGACCACTTGAACGCAACAGCACTGTTTATGGATTTTGTTGATGTTGTTTTTTAATATGTTGTGATTTTGTACGGATGCTTCCTCGGCCAGGTCTCTCTTGTAAAATAGATTTTTGATCTCAATGGGACTTCTTGGTAAAATAAAATAAACTAAAATAATTGTTTTGTGACATCTATATTGAATGCAGATCTGAGTGAAGATTTTGATGCCTATAAGATCAGTCTGAAGACGAGATGTAAACATGTGACTGAAGGAACT